CGACGAGAGAAGAGAGAGACAGAGAGGAGAGGAGAGAGAGAGAGAGAGAGAGAGAGAGAGAGAGAGAGAGAGAAACTAATGAACGTAATGACATTTTTGTAATGCTGCGGAGCGGTTGTTTAGCACAGCTTTATTTTGTAGTCGCATAACTCCGGAAACCCTCCGGCTCACTTGACGAGCTTGCGGCTTGAAGTCTGGAGCCGTTTCCGTTGATTTTAATACCCAGTATTTTATCGCTTTCTCGTTCTCTCTTCTCTCTCACTCTCTCTCTTTCCCCTTTCTTTTTCACTCTCTCTGATTTATTCATCTCTCGCTCTTCATCTCCTGCCGTTTCTATATCGCCCTTAGCTATCTCTCCATCTCATTTTCCCACTCTCTCTCTCACCCCCCCTCTTTTGCTCTCCTCCCCCTTTATCTCTTACCTCTCTCTCTCTCTGCGCGCGCGGAGTTGATATTTGCGCGCTATATTACATTGTGTTTGTCCGCTCGAGTCAAGGGCAATTACAACTGTCCAATACAAATACGAGTGAATGCGTCTTTAAGCAGTAGTGTTCCACAGGGACGCGCACGCGTCGCGAGCAAAAGCAGTTAAATGCATATATATTCAGACCGGAACGACAGCGGCCATTCTGTAATTTGCTTCATCCTGAACACGATAAATTTCTTCTCCGCATCACAATAACTTTGCGGAGTGACTATTGATAAGAACTTTGAGGTTGGTTGCGAGCTGGTACAGCCCCACTGGTATATACGCTCGCCTTGTGCTGGTATATATATATATATATATTGAGAAGAATTTATCGAGTCGTATTTCGGTTCAGTAGGGAGAATGTGCGCGTTAGCTCCCCACCTCCATCATGGCTAAGTCATACGTGGCTGTCCCAGACCGCGGAAACAACCGACGCCATTACTACTGCACCACAGGACCTCTCGCGTTTCCCGCGAAAAACAATTGAGATTTCGAACGAGAAGTGCCGCCATATATACGCGGCACGTGCCTGTCCTGTAGCGATGCTTTCTTGTGAAAATTCGCTCAGCTATTGCGGAGTGCGTCAAATAAAAAATCATGTCCTTCAACAGTCTGCCGCTAAAGTTTACACGATCAGGAATGTGCAATTGCTTTCTAATTGTTATTATTCTCTTTATGATACTTATAGGTGTGTATAGTTTGGTCTATATAGGATGAGCACTAACTATCTCTAGAGTTGAACTAGACCTACATGCTACTTTCGTGAGGGTGGGGATAATCTACGACACAGGTGAAGTTCTCATCACGTATTGCCCCAGTGAATGTATATCACTTGTTAGATAAGAGCAGAACTGCTATTATTCTGCTATTATCCAATTCCTGCATGGCGCATACAAACGTGTAATGCCACCCTAAACTTTGATTCTAGATGATCTTCGCTATGACGCTTAACGACCCCTCACCATTCGTGTCGTTCTCCCAATCCCAGTCAAACTCCATGCTATCATGATCACCGATGGTGGCTCCCCCTGGGATGTGCTTCTTTTGGGAAGCTGCAAACAAGATAAATATATGTTACTACATGGCCTTATCGATATCTCCACGCTTACGTTCACAAGTTCTCAGTATCTGCGCCCATATCATGGCGAGGGAGTTCATCTAACTTCGTCGGGGGTGGGGTGGGGGGCTTGGCGTGGATGCATTCGTTAACGAGCTATGCAAATTCGATTTCTGGCTTGGCCAGTGGAAAGCGGGGTAATATGAAGCAGATACTGAGATGGCATGACGATGTGAAGATGAAGAAAAGCCATGCAGGCACATATCTGTTTTGTGCTGACCGCCGCGCGCATGCGCATGTGCCTATAACCCTCTCCTGTGTGTATATGGAAACATATTGAATACACATCGTATAATTGTCGAAATAATTGGTTATCCGTTTTTAGAAGTTATCAAACTAACAACATATTGTTCCTGATTACCTGCATGTATCAGGGATGTAACTGGTTACTAGATATACATACTGCCAGGAGCGTATAATGACAAATTTGTCATTATACGCAAATTTGTCATTATACGCAATTTGTCATTATACGCTCCTGATACTGCTGATGTATGCATACTGAGAGTAAAACCTGTCACGAGAGTGAAACCACTTTGAACTCTTTCACACGTGGCGTATATGCCAAATGAAAGTACCGCTCATGAGCTTTATAGATTTTGTACATTTAAACAACCAAGAACTGTGATGATCATTTCTCATTGAAAATTTCCACCACTATACTACACTCAAGCAGTTCAAAACTCTATTGGTAAACATATCTACTTGACATACATGCAGCCAAGTTGAACATGATACGAACATATGTTTTGGTAAAATATATCACCGCGCAGTGGCTCTTTATATATTGAATATTAATATATAAGACAAACTGCCTGTGACACGTTCTCCTGTGCATGTATAAAACGTTTATGTGCCTATGTCTCTATTTCACACGGTGCTAGTTCTTCCGTGAAAAATTAGCGGAACACAAAAAACGGACGAAAGTACACTTTGTGCGTGTAACCCCGCGTGAAGGTCTCACTATACCTAGATTCTTCATGTGTATAGACAATATGCGATATATCCGATATGTGATTGGCATTTTGATGTCGAATACTAATGTGATTGAACTGAAATGTCGTATGTCGAATTTATAGCCATTTTTCTAGCTGCACACAGAACCCAAAGATAAATAATAATAATAATAATAATAATATGTTGTTTCCCCACTGTAATGAAGGGGAAGTCGTCGGAGGGGGGGTAACAATAATATATTACTGTTGTGTACCGCCACATTGCAGACCAAATATCTGCCCAACACGTACATTGGCTACCCCCACTCTTACCATGATTCAACCAACATCACAACCCACATATCTACGGCCGAAGCACCGTCATTAGCTGCCCCACTATACCCAACTATACACCACCAAGAGACCCAACCACTAACACCACCCACCCATCCACTCGACCACCCATTGGAGATTCCAGACCAAATTGAAATGAAAACACTTCCGTGCACTAAGCGTGTTGCAAAGTGATGCGTAGGCTCTAGCTGATTTGATCATTTCACGCATAGACATGCACAACCGCGAATAGCGGCATGGCTTCGGTTTCATATTTTTGCTCACAAGGCTACGTATTACAATGGTATATCATCATTTCAATGGTGTATACTTATATTTGTGAGATGATTAGCTTTGATGTATTGATTTTATGTATTGATTTTATGTATTGATTTTATGTATTGATTTTGTCCATTTCGTGTATTTATTTTATTACCGTTTCATGCAACCGTTATAACTTCAACTTTATTTTCTTTTTGACTACATGATTATGTTGCCGTTTTGCATTTATGTTTGCGATATTCGCGACCAGTAAATAATTCTATGTTTATGAGTTTTAACAGCATTTCCGTCTCGTCACCACTTGTGCTAACACCGTGGACGCAATCTACGTCACCCCCACCATCCACCTGGACACCGCTACCGACACAAGCCCGACCATTAGGAGCGACACAACTCGTCAGAACCAGCAGGGGCGACACTTCGAGAGAGCGGACCGCCGCCATCGCCGAAGAGCTAGGTCAACAGCTCCAGGCAGGCCAGTCCTCGCCGTTGCCCCCATGTCAAGCCCACCTGACACCACAGCTACCCCGACTCCGTCCCCTTGGTCACTCATACTCACCCCAGTCTACAATTTCCATTATGTTCCCCCCTACCCCTACACGACCGACCCCTACACTGGTCCCCAGCGACGCCCCTCACCCTCTCCTTTCTCCTTCTCGGACCATCGTGACCCCTCCTACACCTGGCAAGACTACTGGCGGGATATTGAGCATTGGCACCGCTCAATACAGGATATGTTGCTCTTCTGGAGTGAGGAGCTCGAGCAATATATATATCCCGGCCGCGACCGTAGCACTGCGCACCTGCTGCACTCCTGATGGACGGAGATGGATGGATGAATGGAGAAGCACCACGGAGAAACCCCGCGGAGAAGCCCCACGGAGAAGCCCCACGGAGAAGCCATATTACACGAATGTTGGGTGAAGATATTTCGGTAAGCATATCCACTGCTTAACCAGGCTACTATTATAAGCGATCTGCACAGATAAAATAAAAATTCCGTTTACAAAGGTTGCAGATGCACTTTGCGTTGCGTCTGAGAATGCACGACGACGTAAATATTAAACAGCTTATTTACATCTCGCGACATACTGTATGCATTATTCCTACTCGTTTAAAAGATCTGGAGATACCGAAACAATTTTCCTCCTGGATGCGGAATTACCGGTTAAAGATCTAATTATTTTGGTTGTCGCTTATAAATTACTCGAAATAACCTCACTCGTAATGAAATAATGTATGAAATAATTCGGGCCCGATCGCCTCTTTGTAATGAATATAAATTTATTTTAATACATTCTCTGGGGAACACCAGCCAATCAATACAAATGACTATACAGCGAGACTACACGTGCTCGTGGCCTGCCAACATGCGGCTGGGTTCCCATCATTACGCAGATGCCCCCGGGGGAGGTATAACTGGGCGGAGTGGAAGCAGAGTGGGACGACACGCCATACACTGGCACCCGTGCACCTATATCCAGCTAATACAGCAATTATAGGCGAAATTAGTTACAAATCATTAATTCGCACATCTGAGCGCGCGACTGCCATCACCTGTACGGCGAGAAATCGGCAACGGTGCTAGTCCCTGAAATATATACTTCACCGTTATCACGCACAAGCTTACTAACAGATGCCCTTGTGACTCACATAGAAATTGCTCTATCGAAGATCGTAATCATGCCTAATATATGCCACTAGCGCTATCATACACGTCCGTACGACGGCTACACGCTAGAGTAAATGCCCAAAGGATAAATATCGAGACACCACCTAATTAAACCTATAGACAAAATGTCCGTCCACGTTCACGTGCTTGTTAAGCTCGTGGCCAATCATACTCGATTCAAAGCTTGTTATAGAGGGGATGGCTACTCAGCACATATGTTCGAGAGGGCTCCGCTGGTGCGGGCCGATAAACAACGGAAAAACACGTCTAGTGAGGCGACTAATGTAATAGATGCCAGTGTATTTTACCAACACGAACGTTTTACTCCTAAAAATGCACGACTCTCAGACCACTAAAACTGCCCCATTAAAAGTTCATATCTGCTAACCGTCCACATGAGAAAAATCTGTGTTTATTTAAACATCGGACTTTACTTCACACCATACGCTCATCTTTAATGTAATATATTAATTTTAAACAGATAGATTTAAAATTATGTCACACTTTCCTTTTGTTTTCGCTTCGGTGAAGCGAGTGGTTGCCAACCATGACAGAAACATTAGAGACGTTATTTTTACTGCCAGCAAAGCCGCGTAACGATCTCAAATAAGATTGGCAGTTGCAATTGCATGCTAGGTAAAATGTCTCCTAAGAATGCATGTGTTCAGCAAGCCAAAATCGGTAAAACATTACTATATTATATTGTCAGAAAATCCACCTAAAAATCAATATTTTGCAACAAAGTCAGGCGTATGCTGCCGAGAAAAACTATACTGCTGAAATAGTTGCGATGAACGTAGAATTTGATGATGAGTTATAAGCAAGAGAGGTTTTTGAATGGGTCCGATTTTAATTGTTTAGGAGGCGTATATTTTTATTGGAGGGAGTATATATTTTTGGAGGGATCGAGTACATTTTTGCCATTAAGTTAGAGAAAAAGATTCCCTCTTTCTTGTTTGTGTTTTCATTCCTGGACCCGGTTCCACAGTCGTGGATTAACTTTAACCCTGAGTTAAGACTAACTCTGAGTTAAACTCACTAACTCTGAGTTAGTAAACTCCGAGTTAAATTTGGGTTTCATAAACATGGATTAAATCCTGAGTTAAGTAACTCAGAGTTAAATGTTTTAACTCAGAGTTAGTATCCCATAATTCCACGTAGTTAGAACAGATGAACACGATAGACGCATGATAGACGCATAGACGATAGACGATAGACGCATGATAGACGCACGAACATGGTACTGGTAGAAGTACGGATGCCTGGATCAGCATCGGTACGCCATCAATGGCCGACCAATGTACACCAAACGTAAACAAACACCTATGTTCTAGCGGCAGCGGGAGATCGGACACGGGGCAGTACTAGATAAACTAATTAGCTCTAGTACTATAGTACCCTAGAGCTAAACTAACCTCGTAGAAACTAGTCTAAAGGATTATACCGAAGACTATCTATAACTAAATCGAATCATAGATCGAATGTAACTTGATTTTTAACCCTGAGTTAAGAGTTAATCCAGGTTCGAACCAGAGTTAAATTTTAACTCTGAGTTAGGCATATTTAACTCAGAGTTAAAGTTAATCCACGACTGTGAAACGGAATTTAACTCTGAGTTAAAGAATTTAACTCAGAGTTAAGAGTTAATTCACGACTGTGGAACCGGGTCCTGTTCTATAACCTACTGCTACTACTAGATGTATCTTTACGT